CTCTTTTAGGATGTCGGTTTGTCTCGCCGACATTCGTAAGGCCTGACTCTAACCGGAGTCTCATCCAACAATTTATATACATTTCGACCAAAAACGTACAGCGGGGTCGGACGAAACACCGCTCCCATACTCTTTATAACTTCTTGTAATTTTCCTATTTCCTCTGCCGAGCTCTTTCTTCTAGCTTACTATCTCCAACTATTTTCCAAAAATCTACCTGAGTTGGATCAGCCAAGGGATAGGAATATCCCTTCTCCCTCAATATCTTCCATGACCTCCTCCATCACAAGATTCACAAACTCGGGCGCTGATAATAGGTTTCATCAAATTTACGTGATAAATGATGTCATGATACGCTTACCCGGAATCTCTACCGTATAATTGGTTCGGAAATCACACTAGTTTACTTTACCTGGCTCTATCCAGTTCAGAGCCATTTTGTGTGGTTTAGACGTGGCTAAAACAAGCACGAGATCTCCGACCTTAAACCTTCTTGTAACAGCGTTGCGATCATACCAGAGTTTCCTTTTACTCTGACACTCTTTCTCCTCTCTACAGCCAGATCCTGACACTTCTTTAATCTGTTTATTAAGTCTAGAACATACTCGACCACAGTGGGGTCTGAACTTTCTTCCTCTAGCCAGTTTTCATACACAATCGTTTGAGGCATTCTCAAATTTTTTCCATGTACTAAGTCGCAGGGACTAAAACCTGTGCTCTCATGGCTAACAGTTCTGATGGCGAACAAAGCACATGGCAAACATTCTTCCCAGTCCTTCCCGCTTTCCAAGCACAAAGCCTTCAATACCCTTTTCAAGGTGGAATGCAACCTTTCAACAGAATTGTTTTGAATGTGACACACAGAAGAATGATACACCTTAATTCCGAACTTGCTAAAAAAACTCAGATGTAAGTTCACTGGTAAACGATCTACCCAAATCACACTGAATTTCCTTAGGGTAACCTGATCTAGCAAAAGATTTGTATCAAGGCTTGAATCACACTTTAGAGTTTAAATTCTGTACAGGAATGGCATCTGGATCTTTGGAAGCAACACAAATAGACGTAATTAAGTATTTATTTTCACGCGAACTAGGGATCAGAGGTCCTACTGCATCAATATTTAATTGCTAAACACTTCTGATATAACAGGCACAATCTTCATGGGGGCTTTCTTTTTATCCTTATTGTGACCTACATGCTGACAAATATCGCACGTCCTCACAAATTCTTCAATTTCCTGGCAGCAATTAGGTCAGAAATAGTGTGTCAAAACTCTATCCTTGGTTTTTGTTACCCCTAAATGACCAGAGATTTCCTCGTGGCATAACTTCCCTTTCCTAAAAACGAGAGGCACACACAGCTGACGCTTATCTTCCCCCTTTTTTAGAACCTGCCTCTCTGAATAGTCTTTCCTTGACTATTATAAACTCTTTTTCATTTTCACTTTCCCCTTTCTTCCACAGGGTCGTTAAACTAGCGCAAGTTTTTTGTGCTTCCAAGAGTTCTGCTGGCGAAACAGCCGCAAGGATAGACCTTTCTTCTAAACTGATGTCTGCAATTTTAATTGCCTCCTCCGTATTACTGGTTAAATTCCTTTCTTCCGAATGCTCATTATTGACGGCCATTTCATTTTCTATCCGTTTCTTTTCTTCCGATCTGGAAGCTAAGTCTTTTGCACTCGCTCTCTCTAAACTCCTGCGCACATGCGCCTGACTACGAGTCTCCACAGCATTCAAGAGAACCGGTCGTTCCCTAATTTCCTCAATCAACTGTGCTGTGATAAGGTCACATAAAAGAAGAAGAGACTGAAGATTAATATGGACAAGGATGTCTCGTGAGAATAAGCTGAAATTTATTATTTTTTAACTTACAAACACGTTTTCAATAGTTGTTAAAATAGTCTTTATTAAAATAATTAAATCGTTGGCAATGTTAAAAACGCAAGCTCGAGAGCCACGAATTGCTCTCACACGTAAAATGTATAAAATTTTATTTTTGAAAGAGATAGTTTCTCTCTTGTAGAATGGTATGTAGCCATTTTTTTTTTTTTTTTTTGGCGTTCAATAAAATTTTTATGCTGTGTTTTGTTTTGAACCTGATGTCACAATCCAGGGTTTGCATAGCGGTTTCGGCCACTACACCACAACACGACGTAAACATCTTAGACAGGAAAGCAAAGCAGTGTGTAAGTTTCGAAAAGTAGTAGAAGAGTATAAGCTACAAAATTGGATCACGTAGTTGCTAAATGTATTTATAATAAGTAGGTGCATAAGTACAGCTGAACTGCTATTGGTTAATTTTAAGTTGTTATGTAATGTGCAAGATCTCGAATTTGGGAGAGCAGATGAACTTAGGGTGGGAGACCACCAAATTTAGAATAGCTAATTTTGAGGTCGCCAATCATTTCTTAGCGTAGCCATCGTATTTTGTTATATCTTACATACATATATTTATATACTATTGGTGCAGCCGATTGCAACCAAAAAGGGAGATGAACAAGTATATGTTATAGCAGTCCTATATACAACATTTAAACGTTATAGGGCAATTCGTTTTTGAGTTATGCGAGATATGTGCGGCAGGGAAACTACCTTATTTTAAAAATGAGTAACACAAACAGTATAAGCGATATCAGTTTAATTTTTTTCCAAGTTATAGAGAGACACTTAAAGTTTTTTTTTTTTTTTTTTTATTATTACAGTTTTAAAATAATACCATTAAGGTGGTCTCTGTTCTGGTCAATGCATTGAGATAGTCGAGTTTTGAAGTTTCTTTCCACTTTTATCAGCATATCAACGGGTATATTGTCGATTAACAGCTTGAATATTGTTCTTCAGTTGAGATAAGGTCTTTGGGCATTAGATATTCAGATAGCGCCACAAAAAGAAATTGCACGGGGCTAAATCATGCTAGCATGCTGGCCACTGACAATCGCCTCGTAAAGAAGATAAGGCATCCAAGGAAATGTTCTCCAAAATATCATGGTCTAATGATGCCTTTTTTGGACAATGCACACCAAACAGTCACACGTTCTGTATGGATGGGCTGCTTATGAAATTCTCGGGGATTCGTGCCACTCTATTATCGCATGTTTTGCTTAATGCATGCTGCAAACGGAAAGATGAAAATGAGCCTCATTGCTAAAGAGCACAAGGGTATCATGAGATGTATTGTCAAGAATAGCTCTGCATGCATTTTTTCGTGAAAGAAAATCGTGTGGATTAAGTTTTTGCCCCACTGCCAATTTATATGGATGAAAATGCAGTAAGTACGTTGAAAAGTACGACTTCACGGAGAACGTGCGCTCCTCTCTCGTCCACTGCATGGTTGGTACTAAATCTACATGACATAAAACTTTAAATACCGCTCTTTTCAATGAGTGCCTTTCCCCCTTCTCGGAATGAATGTCGCTAGATGGTGCGCATTTCAAATAAGGAAGTTTGCCTGCTGCACCCTGTACATACAGACGACACAAAAAGAACATGATATTTAATTTACAAATTTAACACACAAAATGTTTATAATAAAGAGACCAAAAAAAAAAAAAAAAAAAAAAAAAAAAAAGCTTTGCAAGCCATCTTACTAACAAAATTTAACACCGATATGATTGACTGAGAAAAAATAGGAAAATGTATGCCAAAGCTGAACACTGCATTGGAATTTCTAAACATGTTAATTTTAAATTTTCATAATTTTGCTGTTGAATTGTATTTGGCAGCTGCTGAATTTTAATAAGTGATGCTATTTATGATGATGATACGAATGCTACACTTTTACTGAAAAAATAAAATTTTTCCATTTTGAATTTTGCTTATAAAATATTCATTTCTAGAATTAAAAATATTGTTCCTGATATTATTTGTTCATTCTAAGAAAAGAAATCAATGAAGTATTATTACTCCTATCTTTTGCTACAATATATCACCAAGAGTTGTGTTTTGTTATCAGTATTTCTATCTATCAGCACTTTTAGTAAATGATGATTTTATGGTATAGGGAAAAAATTTTTTTTTCTGCAGGCATTTTCAGAATTGCAGCACTTTTGTTCTGCCTTTTTTTTTTTTTTTTTTTGTTTGGAAAGGGGGCTGTGGAAGAACTTGAACATCGTTTGATAAAGCTGTTCGAGTGGTCCAAAACTGGAATTGAAATTTTTGTGTTTAAAAATTGAACAAAATGGCATTAAGTTTTATAGCATCGGTTTCATTGTATTTTATGAAGAAATCTCCGCCCCCATTTTACTGCATTAATTTCTTTAAGCCTCTAAGAAAATACATGCCAATTAGAGGTTTTTGTGCCATTGTGCAATTTGAAAGTCTTTGTTGCATATAGTGCAATGTGCACGATTAAGAGAAATTTTATATGCATGGAAATTCCACAGAACTTGAGTATAAATTTCTGCTTTGATAATTTTAGCTTCTTATTTTGTTGTAGCATAATTCGCAAACTTAAATAGAACTTTCAGTTTTATCAGAAGTCACTATAAGCACATGCTATGTTTTCTTGCCATAATCTAAATGAACACAGAATCGAAAGACCTGCAGAGTAAACAGGCCCTTCACTGCAGCATGCTTAAAAAGAAAGATTAATACTTGCAAATTGAAGATCTACAGTTAGCTATTCTTAAAATTCAGCAAAACTCAACACTGACTGATTTTGCAAGTATTTCACCATTTATCAGACATATAAATTGGTTCCATTTTACATATCATTTCCCTTGCTTTACCATATTAAATGTGCTTACCAGCCATCCGACTGACCGAGATTTTACCAGTTTGAAGGTATGATCCTATCCAGATTATCATTTTGTCTCAGTTGTTTATTAAATATTAAAAAAAAATATCAAATATTTAAGAATTACTGCCGTGTTATATTTTTTACTTATTGTTTTATTTATTAAACATATTTTTTATTTATTATATATTTAATTTTTCACATATCTCATGGCAACAGGAAAAATACTCATAAATAAATGAAGATGTTATGTATACAAAATGACAAACTATTTAAAAAACTGTTTATTTCATAGTTCAGAACAATGAAATCACAAACTGCTATTCTGCATAGAAATTCTATTTGTTCTTATTGCTTGATATTTTCAATATTTAATTTACTAAATATTTTTTTTAATTTAAAGACAATATGAATCAAGTAGATATCTTTATTGATAATATAAATATATGAAGGATTTAAAAACAGAAAAGTCACCGGTAAACAAATCAATAAATTTTGTAAGTTTACACAAAGAAGTAAATACAATTTTACATAGAAATCATTTTTAAAAGAAAAATAAAATATTTCTATTTTTTAATACACTAAATGTCGAGAAGAACACAATATTTAACTTTCAGTCTTTTAAAAAATAATTTTAATGATGAATACATTTATTTTACTTTCAACTTACATGCAATCATCTATAGAAACTTGGATTCTAGCAAACTTTAAAAGGATTATCCAGTTTAAGTTTTTTATACAATTGCTGAATTTCCTACATCTTTCCTTTTATAGCATTATAATATATGAAATGGACAAATTACAAATTATTGCTACGTATTAAACACTACTAGTATTAGTAAAGAATACAAAAATATGCAGTTGAATTTTCTGTTTTTTTCTTTTTTAACTTCAAAATGGCAACACATTTTTGGCAAAATTACAAATCATTACATCAAGCATACTTTAAATTAAAATAAGAAATTTTTTTCTTAATTTTAATATTTTCAGATGGTATGGATGTTACTGAAATAAATTTCTAATTTACAAACATGCACAAAACAAGTAGTTATAATTTTTTCACAATATAAATATTAAAAAAAGGAAAGAAATAATTCTTTCTAACATTCAAAGCACTGAATTTCATAACATTGCATTTTCAAATAAAACTTGACGTTTGATTTCACGAATTTTAGATTTATTGACTTGTGGTTTTTAAGAAAAAATAAATATATCACAAAAATACCCCCCTAAAAAAAAAGCACATGCTAAAATTTACTGCAAAACAGAATTAAAAATGCTAAAAAATACAGTAAAACACTTAAAATTTATTCCATTATCTAAACCATACAATTCAGTAGAAGTTTAGCCACACACAACTCTTAAAAAGTATTTTACTATGCAATTAAAAAAAAAGCAAACTAGTAAACTCTTCTTTAGAAATTTCTTTTCTTCCTACAGACATTTAAAAAAGGTTATTATTTCTTAAAAACTGAAGGGAAGGATAAAATAAAATATATTCAATATAGGTATCCCCTATAATTAATATGTATATAATAAACATTTACAAATTTTCCCCCTCTTTTTCTTTTTAATTTTCCGTTAAGAAATATTTAAGTTAATCACTGGGATAATTCAGCAAAATTCAGGTTTAAATTCATTCACAGTTTAAGAAGTACAATACTCAGCTCATTATCAAATGATATGTCAAAAGCATTGCATTAAATATGCATGATATATTGAGGCAAAATCCCACGGTAGATACAGATATTTGATTAAAAAGTCACAGCATAAAAATATTTGTAAAAGATTAAAAAAAAAAAAAAAAAAAAAAAAAAAAATCAGATTTGTAAGAAAATTTTGAATATATATACAATGAATTACAGCACAATTCAGGTAAGATTTAATATCAGTGTGTCAAAATAAGAATGCCCAAAGGCACAATTTTGTTATTAATAATGAAGTCTGCAATCTGATTATTATGTAACAATTAACAAAATTAGCTATTTTTAAGGCCTTCATTTAATACACCTACCTCTCCATAATTGGTAGTAAAAAAATAAATGTTAAATACTGATAAATATCACTGTTACTTAATGACAAATGAAATTCATGTTCATCACTTTTAATGCTGAATGTATACCATAATTAATACCAATCATTTTAATTTTTCATACTTGGTATATAATATTCAAGGAAGCATACATTAAATTCAAAACAATTAAAAAAAACTTTACCACAGCTAAAATTGCTATACCAAAATGACCCCTTCCCTAAAATTTTATATCCGAATGCTGCAACTGCTGTGAGAAATTTGTGACTGCCTTCTGTTAAATGTTTATGACTCCATTATAGAAAAATTTTCATATACATTCATACATTTTCATATACTCCATTATACTCATGTCTATGAAAATTTTTCAGAGAAATAAAATTGGGGATGGGAATAATTTAAATTTTTTTACTTGCTTTTTTAGAGAAGTGTTAGGACTACAGTTAATTTGCAGATTTGGATTAGTTTGGTTTATTGCAAAATGGTCATCTTTTACAAAATATGAGCTAAAGCTGAGACATACTGCTTAAAACATAAAACGGTTATAACTTATTTTTCACACTAAAATAGGGGATACCTACATAGTAAGCGCATACCTAATAAACAAACTACCTTTAATAAGCTTGTTCAGTACCAAAAAGCTATTTAATAAACAAATCCTATGAATTCAATGTGCGTGGGTCTATATTTACAAAGTTGATATGTTACAATCTAAGCCACAAGTAAGGCAATAATGCGAGGAATTCACTCTCTGAATTAGGTAACCCACATGAATATCTTGTTACAGATGTATGACCGGTATTGTATTAATCAATTTATTGGTAAAAGTTGCTATGATAATTCAGATAATACCAAAAAATATTACAAGGATATTCAATATGGGTTGCTTGAATGTTCAGATAATCAAATATATATTTTTTTTTATTTATTTATCAATTTAAATTTTTCTCAAAAAATTATTATAAAATATGCCATAACAATTGAAATGTAATTTACAAATCATAAGAATTTACTTAATTTCAATGTATTTAACACAGACAGAAAACACAAAGTACATGACTAAAACTTGTCTAAACTTACAAGAACACAGAATAGCTGGGAGAATTTTTTAATTAGAAAACTAACTGCAGCGATATATATATATTTATATATAGATATAGATTTATTTATTTATAGGTATCTACAAAATACTCTCAGCCTTTTAAAAAGGACCTGAATTGTTAGTTTCAGATATGAATTCCTGAAACTGTTGTATCTAAGCAGGACATTTATTACTGAAGGCCTCAGACACATCAAACACTGCCAAAAGCACCATGAAAGTTCACATTTTTTTTTACAAGAGGCAGTGTCCCAACTATTTACTATTGCTTCTTCCACGTAATGAAAAGCAACCTTTGGGCAATGTATCATTATCAATTAGGTATTTGTACAATAAATAAAAAGTTTACAACACAAATGTTCACCTACTCAACATATAAAAACATGTTCTTCAATGCCAAGGTTCATTCCTTAGAGAAGACATGTATTAGCTTCTAATAGTGTACAAATAGTTCTTCAGCACAACTTAATATATACAGCAAAGAGAAGAGAAAGAAAAGGAAAAAATATACATAATTTTACAAGAAATGGCTTGTATTTGCAATATTACTAGGCATTACATTTTCTAGCAACAAATGGCATAAGACAGAATATCACACAAATTGAGGTTAAACTTCTTTTCATACTCAGAGATATACTGGATCCACATTTGCTGTTTCCTGCACTGTCCTACTGATTGAATCAGATTCATTGATAGAAGGCATATCTTTATTTGTTTCAATGGTACTTGAATCAGCAGCAACAGCAGTAGGAGAATTAGTATCATCACAGTTTGAAACACTCATGGATTGATCACATGTCCTACTTTCAGATTCATTAGCTTCACTTAATGTCCAACTTTCAGAAGGCATTATATTTTCATTTACTGGACTAGAGGACTGCAGATCGGCAGGAGTGTCTTTTGGAATAATATCTGTGTCCCCAGCATATGCTTCTTCTGAATTTTCTAATACTGGAAACAGCAATAACGAAAATCAATATTGTGAAAAAATTATTAAATATTAAAAAGACTGTAATTAATGCAAAATAATAAAGCAACCTGAAATAAATTAAGCACTGTTACGAACTAAGCAATCATTTTAAAATGCTTTATTGGCGTACATGACAATCTTGGAAGCAAAAATTTCACAAAGCTCAGAGAGATTTCTTAATTTACAACATTTTTAAATGAAGCTACAAACTTCTCCCTTGCATAACCATGTAAATTCAGAACTAAAAATTTACAATAATTTCAAAAATAGGGTTCTAAAATAAATATACCTTGACTATATCAGCTTTTCACTGAAATGGATACTGAATAAGGAATTAAACATTAAAAAAAAAAAAAATCTAGTTTAAATAAATACAATTTAAAATCTTTTAATTTTAAATGCTTAGCAGGATGAATTAAGCAAAATTTGATATTACAATTCTGCCCCAAGAAAAAGCATTTCATAAAATTTGTAATGTATTTTCTCTCTCCTTATCACATGCCTTTGTGGTGCAGTTGAAAAAACATCCAGGAAGGTCTGAAGTTCGAATCCTGGCGAGTTCATTCCCTGTTTTCATGTTTCCTGCTCCAAATTAAAATGCCTAATAGTCACTACAATAGGACTCGAAGTAAAGAAAAGGTGGTAAATGATAATTCATCACCACCAGGATTAGGCAACTGGGTTCCCATTTAAACAGTCAACCTTACGTGGAGAAGAGTGTTAAGATATTTTCTCCCTCCTTATTGCATGGCCTCATGGTACAATTGGAAGCACATCCAACTAGTACCAGGAAGTCTGAAGTTCAAATTCAGGCAAAATCATTGTATATTTTTCAAATTTTCTGCTCTGAAATAAAGTGTCTAATAGTCTGTACAAATAAAACCCATAAAATTCAGTCTGAAAGAGATAGGGTAAGATACAGCATTTTTTGTAAAATATATATATTTCCTAATATAAAAAAATATTTTACATTTACAACACAAACATCCATGAATACCAGTGAAGAAATTTTGCCTCACCTTTGATCCTTACTGTTTGATTACTAAATGATAAAATATCAAATATTTTTTGAAGGATTCAAAAAGAATCTGGCAGCTAGAATATACATTAAATACTTGAATATAATTACTGCATGAATTTGCATAAGAAAATATTTTTCTTAAATCATGACACTTGGTCTAGTTGGAAAAAATCACACCAATCAAGAAAAATAGTCTCACATGTGATTTAAAATAATTGCAAGTTATAAGACATTGCAACATTGCAAGTTACTGTAGAAAAACCTAGATTACTCACGTCCTTAAGGACACAGTACATGGCCCGAAATATATAAAAATGTAACAAAGCTGACAACTTAATCAAAATTGAGGATACAGTATAATTTTGATATTTTATTTATTAAATACCAAAAGCATATCTTTTTATTATCCCCATAAAGAAAAAGAAACATATTAATGTCTAATCACAACAGTCTTATAATTATTACACACAGAAATGCTAATAGACAACCTGTACAGGCCTCCTAGACTTTGTTCTACCTAAGGAAAAGCCTACACACTGTTATCAACTTCAGTATGCTTATATAGGTCTTGAGTATGTTTATCAGCTTATTTATACCTCATCTTGAGTATGTTTATCCACTTATTTATCTCATCCATAAATGTATAATCAATCCTTTTATAAGCAGTTCTGTTTCATCATTTCTTGAAAATTTTCAACAAATCTTCAAAACCATATGCAAAGAGAAAGAGTGAAATTATTTTCTAATTCAATATTCAATTATAAAATAAAACACATGACAGCCTGCCATCAGGATATGCTGCCAATTTCCTCAATCTTATCGGCTAAAAAGCATTCTTTTATCAATATTTCAATGAAAAAATTTTTAAGGAATTCAGTGAATAAAAAAATGTTAGTAATAGACCAAATAACATTAAAAGCAATACAAAAGGAGATAAAGTTCTTAATGATTGCTCACTGTTTAATGATTATTATCACAAAAGCTCTTGAAATATAAAAGAGGGAGTTTTCATGCTGTGCCATTTTTTAGGAACTTTAAATTTGACTTTAAATTTATAATGAAGATTATTCAACTACTTATAATGTGATTTTAATATAAGAAAATTCTAAGTACAGAAGAAAATTACTAATCAAATAATTTTTAAATATAATAAAAATAAAATTACTAATCAACATACATACTATTGTGTGGATGAATTAGTGTTATACCATTTACCAATTTAAAAGAAACTTAAATACCAATAGTAACTGACTAAACGTTAACTAAATTTTCATGAAAAGTCCTATAAATGCCTACAGAGGATTAAGGTAATTCAAATGAAATAAGATTCAATAATAAGATTACACTGAAAAATCACTAAGGCTAAGGGAACAGAATTTCCACATTTTAAGTTTCATCAACTCAACTGCTGGGAAACATTTTCCTTAATAAAGACTGAAAATTAAAAAGCAAGAGATTTGCTGATGATTTACTGAGAGACAAGGAGATCAGATGAAAAACTGGAAGTCTTCCAGCAAATTTGGGAGAGCTGGCAGCTATATCACTCAGCTGAGCATATGGCAGCTCAGAGTTTATTCTGTTATAACATTTATATTCTTTATTGTAGTTGCCCAACTGGGATAATGGCTAGCGACACTGAGGTTCGATGGAGAAGGCATGGATGTTTGTAAATGTATAGTGTCTGAGCGGCCTGAAGGCACTCTAAATACGCAACGAGCCGAAAGTCCTCTCCGGAGATTGACAGTCGGGGAAGAGGGATGGGAGACCCTTGAACCCATCCCACCCTGGTTGCACTCTATCAAAATTGGAGGCAGAACTTAGCAAAGTCTTAGTGTCTCCTGTATGGAGCTCAAGGCTCTTGGCAACAACAGGCACAATCCTGCACTCCTTGCCACGATGAATTTTGTGGGTTTGTTCTGATGTTACAAGTACGACTGTTCAGTGATTTACCAAGAGACCAGCAGTTCAGATGAAAAACCAGGAATCTTCCAATAAAAAAGAGAGAGTTGGCAGCTATGCTATCACACATTTAGGTTATAGGCAGCTAATAGTTTATATCCCCCTGTTCAAAAAAAATAATGGAAAATGTTCAGCCATATATCAGTATACTACTGAAGTATAGTAATATATGAGGAGTACATAAGGTATTTTCTCCATCCTTTCTGCGTGCCTGTAATGGTAGCACACTCAGCGCTTATTTGAGAGGCCTAGGTTCGGCGAGAGCAATGCACATTTTTCCTGTCTCCATATATATATGATGTCTTCACAGGTTTACACAGATTTTATGTCTGGAATAAGTTAAATTGAGGAGTAAATAATGATCAGTGTGTCTCATAACAGAAGCTTTGCTGCTGCCTCTACAGTTGATGCTTAGAGACAGAGAGCCACTGATCAAACACAGACATGAACGCTTGATATTAATAATATGGTTCATAAGTACTGCAAGTTTGCTGCATTTTGTCTGAACGAGTTAGTGTCATAACTTCATGTAGATTTGTTGGAGTTGTAACCCAGTTAATGTACAGAATTTACCATAAAGTTCCCACATTCGGAGTGCTGATTTCATGCTAAGCAGATATGTCACACTTAAGCTTGTAAGTATACTTTGTTCTCTCTTGAGCGATAGCCAGTAATGAAAAGATACCACCAGAAAGACCGATTATGGGCAAATAGGCATAATAGTGACAACAACGGTACCGAATCAGGCTTCTCGGATTACTCAACTTCTTCTAAATACAGCAACAAATTCAACTTACAGGACCTTGTTAAAGAAACTCCACCTAATCAGAATTATAAAAGTCAGACTAAACGTAAATGAGAAAAAACTACCTTCCCCCAAACAACAGGAATTTATCTCAGTCATGGACAAGAATAGAAAAGTATTCCCAAACCTAATTTCAGGACAAATAGACCATTCACAGCAACTCCCACGGACCGAAATTTTAAAGGAAATCCTACAGAAATCTACCGCATGAGAATTGGAATCCTTGGACCTAGCCGATAAAGGTTTAATTGTCACTTACGATAGCACATCAGTTATCATGGAACATGCTAAATTAGACAGACAAATTATGGCAGCCTTTGAAAACTCAGAACTGATAAAACCAACAGAAACCCCAAAAGATGACAAACGGATTTCCCCAAAGAAAACTTCTAAAAGCCTGCAGACTTTAAAAACCTCTGAAATATCTCAATCAAACAGATTCGAAATCCTTAAAGAAAATAAAACCAATACAGAAAGGATAGAAAACAATGAAAATAACAAAAAAATCCCCCCCCCCCCGGATTGTCATTCCTGAAAACGATGTTGATTGGCTGGAAAGAGATAGAATACTCAGATAAATTTATTTGTATAGGCACCGAGCTAAAGTTCAGAACATCGTGAGTTCGGGCGTCGGCCGTAACTCTTTTCCACCAAGTGCCATTTTTGGCCTGGCCATTAATGGCACCAGCTAATGGAACTAAAACTGAAGAATTTTCCACTTTTTATTTTTAAGTGGATTTTATTTTCTCACTATGACATGCCCCGTAGGGACATTAATTGTAGAGTAAAAGCCCTAGGGCCGAAGACTCGTCACCACCGCAATTCACCAAAATAAAGTTCCAATAAGCCACTGAAGCACAAGAGGTGGTGATAGGTTGTTCTGCATTATTATAGTTGTAAGAAATAAAGTATTATGTTAATTTTTACATTTTTGTGTTGTATCTTACAACCACAATAAGGCAAAAACTCAACATGCAAGAAATAACTTTTAAGGATGCACAGTTAGTTACAATTAATTAAATCACATAGTTAAGTTATCCTTAGACAGAGTGGTTACAATTAGTTTTTTTTACTTATTTTTAAAAAATATACATTAAAAAAGCACTAAGAACATTTACAGCAGTTATAATTTATTATATTAATTCTGTATGATATTAATATAATTACACATTAAAAGCTACAAAACATTTATATTT